GGATATTAAAGTGTTCCCATAACATTATTTTTATTCCAAGAGAGGGCTTAAAGATGAATATTGGAGTTAAATATATACATTATCCTTCACATCTTCACATGGGAGCTAATGTTCTTGGAAGATTTAGGAAGCATAATTTTTCATGAAATAATAAGGATTAATCTTTGAACCGTTATTTATGTTATAAGATTCATGGACTTCATCTTCATTAACTATGAATCTAACTAGTTATCCATAAAGTATTATTGTTCTCATTAAAATAACTCTAGATTATATATTACACTTAACTTGTTGACTAGTTAACAGAAACTAATTAATATTTTGGTAGTTATTTTTTGACATTTACACAGGCACAAACAAATGCACACACCCCACATACGTAAGGCCTTAAATTTAAAACATTTAAGACCTCTTTGTTGAAAAGTAAAGCTCTCAGCCACTAGGCATAGGTGGCTTATATAAATATATCGTGTGGCTTAATAAGAAATACATTAGTTATTATATTTATATTGAATAATTATTAATTTGGGGCATTTACATGGATAGCACACAATTCTTGTTTATTTATATATTTCACATCTAACTTCCATATTTACCCACAATATTCAAATTTTTAATATCATATAAGAAATAACAATGTTATCATTTTTGAAAGTGAAATAAACATTTTCATGCATAGGCTTAAAACTCCAAAATGCTATCTAAATATGAAATTTTAGGTGTGAAATATGTAAATACATAAGAATTTGTGCTAGGTATGTAAAGTTCACTATTTATTTTCATAATTCCTTGGAAAATATTATTAATACTTCAGGATGTTTACATATGTATTGAAATGAGAGATGAAGTGGTTTTTTTAGTGGGTGTTATCCTTGAAATTCTCTTAAAAATTAGAAGATATCCTAGCTATACAGATGGCATCAGGCATTAATTATTAAAATATCATAACCTCTATAGCAATTCTAGTTAAAAAATTTTAGTGGGTGTTGTCCTGGAAACATGATTTTTAACTTTAAATGCCATTGCAGCCATAAAGATGTATATTCATTAAAAGAAGATTTTGCATTTCGAAAATAAATCTAATAAGCATTAGAAGGTAATACTAATTCAAGACATTCATGGACATCTTCTGGCAATAAATACAAATCCCATATTCAATCAATCCTCAACTTACCTTTTAGAACAAACACTACTCTAAATAACTGCCAGGATTTTTCTTTTCGAATAGTAAGCTTTATTCAGCTCATTACATGGTAGATGTAGGCCAACAACAACAACAACAACAAAGCAATAATCCCACAACGTGGGGTCGTCTACATGAATCTTTTTTCTCCATTGCATCCTACATCCTATTTTTTTTCTCCATTGCATCCTATTTGGTGTCATTTTTTCATTTAGTTTTAATAAATTAAGAACATATTTTAGACAATAAGCCCAAGTCTTCCTAAGTCTAACTCTGTCTTTCTTAACATAAGTTGAATCTAAAACATCTACTATCCTAATCAGATCACAGATGGTTGACGTTTATGTGGTCAAAACATCTAAGACGACATTCTCTAATTTTGTCACTAGAGCTACGCCAAACCCTATCACAGATATATTGAATTTTACATTTTATCTCTAAGTGTAAAGCCACTCATCCACTTAATCATTCTCATCTTGGCAACACTTTGCTTAGTATTATTCTTCTCTTTAAAAGGCCAACATTCAACGACATAAAGCATTGCAGGTCTCACCACCATCTCATAAAATTTTCCTTTTAAGTCTAAGTGGTACTTTTCTATCACACAAAAGGCCCGAAGCATTCCTCATTCTAGATGCAAGTCACACAAATAAAATTACTTGGGTATTGGTTTCTTCTCATCTTTCTTCATTCTTGTTTTGTTAATGCTTTCTTTCCCCAAAAAGTAATTTGAATATAACTTTTTTCTTAATTAGTATTTTCTATTAACACATAATGCGTAAACTCCTCTCGCTTGAGTTTATTTCTATCATTCACCCTATGACATGCCATCATGTTGGCATGCCATCCAATAAGAATACTTTTATAATCATGCACAAAGGAAAAGGAAATTTTAGAGATAAATGAAAGCATCACTTAGTGTTGTGAATTTGGCTTGAAACTCGTCAATCGCTCGAAAATTAATTTGAATTTTCGCTCAGATCGAGATCTGATTGAAATAATGAGCCGAGCAACGAGCGAAAATTTTAGATCGAATTTTTTTAGCTAGCTTGGCTCGAAATCGGATCGTTGACAGCATACATCTATGAATTTAGCAAATTTTGCTCGATAATTGTTAATCGCTCAAAAATTGATTCAAATTTTGGCTTAGATCAAGATCGGATCAAAATAAACGAGCCGAGCTCTGAGCCGATATTTTGGATCGATTTTTTTCAAACTAATTTTGAGCCAACCAGCTCGGCTCGAAATCTGATCATTAACAGTCGTGTATCGTCAATAAAACAATGGATGCTAATTGAAATTACTAATTACCCAGACACCTCAACTTCATCAATAAAATTAAGACAAATGGATTTCATGGTGATACTTGTACTGCTCCTTCCTGATTATAATGCATGATTCTTCTTTTACTCCTAAAGTCATAACAGAATTTGTTTCAATTAATTTCAAAGCTCCTTAATTCAAAATGTATAAATGATTACTTATTTCACAAACAGCTTCAATAGTGGCAAAAATAATCTGACTTGAATCATATTATGTAGTCTTAATGCCGCCTTCAAGCACAAATAGCTTAATTGTTTTAATGGGTCTGTTTATATGGCCATCCTATGGACGAGATCATCCAGTCACTTTTTGATAAGACAAGAGACAAACCTAATGTGCACATTATGAATAATAAGGGAATATTCTATGATAAATTTATTTAAGGATCACATTGCACCATTTAACATATAAATCGTCCTAGGTCTCCTTTTTTCAACGTCTTAACTTTGAGAAACATGGCATACGGAATTGCGAAGTTCTACCCTCCATTCAAAATTTCCCATCAACAATCACTAGCATCTCCCATCTAAAGTTACCATCGAATTAACAAAAACCTGGGCCTCTTCTAAAAGAAAATGAGCAGATTGATCAGCTTCATACCAAAATCAAAAATGGCTGCCTACCTTAATGTTTTCAAATTGATCAATGTGCCTAACATCCATGATCAATCAAGGGCCATCAAAATTCAACTCTTGATGGTCTTCAACATCTGATTCCTAATATTGGACTTCAACACACCAACATCATTTGATTTCTAATGTCAACCACATCACGAACCATCAACTCACAACACACATAAACATACAGTATCAGGTGCCATATCAAACAATCATTCAACATCTAATGCCCAACTCTTGATGTCTAGTATCTTCCTTAACCATCACTGTCAATTGACATCTACTGCTCCTTATGAACAGCATTAGGGGCAACATCAACCATCATTAGATAAATGATGACACCCTGAAGAGAGCGATCCTATTGTAGTTGTGGCGAATGAAGCATTTTGGTGGAAATAGTCTGGCCATTTTTTAGTAACACTATACCTTACTATGATCTATACTGCTCAATTTTTAATAGGGATGTTTAGGTATAGAAGCCCTCAAAATTTACAGGTAAAGACTCCCAAAGTTTTAATTTGCCCATAAAGGTGTCCATTACGACTCCTCCATGGGTTAAAATGAGACGATGATGACAGCAGCAATAACCTCTTCCTCTAGAGTTGGAAGGCCTCGGAGGCAAAGAAGGTTACGCTGATACCTCAGCGTCGGCGGCAATAACAGAGCAGCTCCATCCCAACAGAGTCCCGACAGCAGCAATAACAATTAAAACTCAGAGAGGTGTGAGGGAGACATCAGGGACGGCGGCAATAAATTTAAAAGTTTTGTTTTCTCTGCTCTTGTTCTCAATGCAAAGAGGCCAGCAAAGGGAAGAACAAGATAATAGGTGCAGAGAAAATTCCGAAATTAGGAAACGGTTAAAAAAAATAAAGTCTCCTTGTATTGTGCAAATAGAGCAACACTGCCGTATCAATGGCGATCGTGGCAGAAGAAAGCTGAAGCATTGGTTGAGCTCCGGCGGAACGGGGCCTTTGATATTATTGGAGAGATCAAGGTGAGCCAGTGCAGGTAGGAGGGAGAAGTTGGGGAAGATGCCGCTGGAGATGCTCTAGTCCCTGAGATCAATTCCGGCAACGCGGACTTCGGCATTGCAGGTTACGGGATTATGTCTGAGGACGAATTGTTTGAGGTCTAACATGACTGCTTTGTCAGTTGCCGAAGGTGAAGAATCGTAAATTAAATGTTTGAGAAAGACGGAGCCTTTAACAGAGTCCTTCAGCCATAAATTAAACGTTTGGGGACCTCTATATATAATAAATATGACTTGGGGACCTCTGTAAGAACGCCTTTTTAGTAACATAAGATTACAAAGCTGTGCAAGCAATTATAATTATTTTCAATTTCTCAAAAACAACTTTAAAAACTAACTCTCAGAGAAGCACGAAAAAACATATATATTACATAACGCCAAAAATCAATAGAAACTTTAACAGCATTGTTGTCATTTTCAGGAGGCCAATGAGCCGCCCCCCATCATTTTTGCTTATCGATTCCAAATACCCAAGCATCATACGACAGACAAAACATAGTAGACCTCAAAGTCATGTCCAGATTAACTCTAGGGTTAAAACACAAGCCCTGATCAATAAGCTTTTAGTGGGGTTCAAGCTAAGTAGGCCAACTTGAACTCAATTTTGACTTTAGAAAAGCTTAGCGGTCCAAACTCTGCTAATGAAATATTCAAAAGCTGAATCTAGACGGCTATAGCTAAAACTTAGCATGGCTAAAGATCGATAAGATATATCTTAAAACAAATTTGATTCAAATCGTTGGATAAGAGTCCCAACAGACAAGTCTTCGCAAAATTACAATCAAAGAACTAGAAAGACAACTTTATAATAGTTATTAATTCCAAAAGAACTGAGTGGCACATCTAGTTTCAAAGGTCCAAGCAGAAGTGCAAAATTCCAATTAAATAAATTGTAAACGGTACACGTAATAAATACGTTTTAACATCACATTGACAGGAAGCAGCACAAATCAAAATTTGAAGATGGAAATTTAAATCTTAATAACTTGTAAAAGACAGATGCCCACTAAAGATTCATGCGACGACCACCACACGCCCAGCAACTTGATCAAGATCACGGCGGCCCTGTGATGTAATTCTTCTTCCCCTAGCAGACGAAAATATTTGATAAATAACATACCAATTCAATGATGCGACTTATCTTGCACTAAAACTTAAATACAGCAAAATTCAACTGTAGCAACCTTCTTGTCCATCCATAATAGTGTGTAAGAAACAAAGAAAGCAGGTAATTCGGTTTATTAGTAAAATTAAAATATAATTATTTGAGTTCTATGTAAGTACCGTTAAGATGAAAGATTACGCTAAAGTTTAGAGAAGCAACAGAATCAACATCCCCTTATGAAAAAAAATGAAGAAGAAAAAAAATGTTAATTATTAGCTTTAACTGAAAACACTAACCCCTTCTCATTGGCTTCAACGATATTCATCTTTTCTAGTTGCTGCAGAATATGACGAGCAATCGCACCACTACTTTTGCAGAAATGAGGTGGCCTGCTACCGTTCCTCTTGCGACCTCCATAGATCTTCTGAAAGCCACCTACTCCAATGCCCTGTCTCAAATAGATCTTCCTTGCCATGGAAGCTGCAAATGAAATAAAAAACTTACAGATGATTATATGGAGGTAGTAACGAGCCAATCTTCCAAAATAAAAATAAAGGATGAAATCCATTACCAGCTCTAATGTAGTACCAATCTGGATCATATGGAGCGAGCTCCTTGAATCTTCCAGTCTTAACAATATCAGTCCAGTGAGGAAGTTCAATCTACAAATAATCAGGAGTACAAGCGACCAATATTATACTGATATATCGGTGAATAATTTAACATTAGTTTAAAAAAAAATACACAACAACAAACAATAAAAACTAGCTGCAGTCATCAAAACTAACCAGAAAAAAAGATGGCAAAATTGAAAAAAAAAAATTATGCAGCGCATAAAGCACACAACTGAACAGAGTTAACAAGTCTTGAAGAAAAAGAATACTATCATAAAAATTCAGTCAGATACAAGTCATATTACATTCGGAACAACACACATAACAATCACTAATCAGACATTTACAAACAGACATCATAAAGTTATATGGCTGGATATTATATTCAAAAATAAAAACATGGATTTATACATGCATTCCTTAATAAAAGTTGGGATAATTACATATATAAGTTTGCAAATATTGCTATCTACAAATCTAGCACAAAGTGATATTCGTGAACTACTGACACGATGCATTTAGGCGTGCCACAATCAAACAATTGGGAATTCGATAAAAAAAGAAAAATATGAATTTAAGTTTTATCATAAATTTTGGCATTTGAGTGAGAATTTCAAAAATGAATGAAAGGGGTGCTAGATTTGTAAATAGCAATGTTGCAGGTGCTATGTATGTAAAATGTTTACATAATAACATGCATAAGTTTAGATAGATATATCAGCAAACATTCATCTGCTCTCACACATTACAATGCATAAGCCCCCATGCATGTAGGCATAAATCAGTGAAAACGCAGGTGTCCGTCCCATTTAATCAAATCTAATGTTAAATCCACAAGCAAAATAATATAAAAAGTGACCCACTTTTCGCAACATTCCCCAAATAAGAAGCAGCGGTTTCATACTGAAGAAACAAGAAAAATAAGGTAAGGCCCTACATTACACAGCTATTTAAGATGCTTGCATAGACATAAGTGCATGTACATGCAAAACAAGACAGACAGGAGTGAGCAGACGCATAAACAGTTTGTGAACAAATGCATCTAAGCCACATCCACATCATCTAAACACAAAAACAGAACACATACAGGCAGCAAAGACAAACATACAGTGCAGATACAAATACACAAAATTCATAGACATATAGAGGTTTTAAATACAGCATTTATAGAATTACAGGGATATGTACATATTAGATACGGATTAGTAAACATAAATTTATTGAGGTAACACGTACAGATGTATAACTGGAGGGATCAAACAAAAAGATGCATACGACAACTCATATCCCTATTTTTACTGAAAGAAGTATGCTGCATGCTTTGCACATAGAAACATAAATACAAACCCGTGTATTATAAAAGATGAAATAAAACAACGCACAACATTTTTTCAGTGTCCATAAAGTGTATTGAAGATTTTTTTCCTATTTAACGTGCAAAGATTTTGGCAATTGCAACTATTCATTTTAAAGTTCTAGAAAGTACAAAGAACAAGTTAACAAACTACAATCATAAATCGTTCATAATAACAAACATTTCTTACATTTGAAACCATATAAAATAAGAAAAAAATCACTAAACAATAGATTTATGAGAATTTAAAGTAGATATCTCATGCATCCTGCATCAGAAATGTTGCAAACTCCTATTCTCTCCATGTATCTAATGCCTTGTAATCAAACGAGAGATTAAAGAAAATAGTATTAGTATATTTAGCAATTAGTGTACGTTGATAACCAACCGTGCCATCTACCTTAAGGATTTTAGATGGAATCACAGCATCGTAAGGCTCATCCTAAAATTTTGGAGTCAGCATTATGAATATTCATTTTTCATTCTTTTTAGCTAACAGTTGCCTGAGGTGTTACGATTTCTTCTTTCTAACCTTCTGATATTAATTTTATATGATCTTCCGGGGAGATGCATATTCTATCCTTCATTGTACATGTCCAAACCCAAAGCCTATTTTCAACTATTTTGTCTTCAAATTATTCACTCAAAACGTTCAACTAACATAATAACTTTTCATTTTATCCTTCCTAAGTTTGTTAAGCATCCTACATCAAATTCTCATTTTTGAAAATCAAATAATTTTATTACTACTAAACAACAAACATCCAAATAATATCATCAGCTTAATTATGATTTATTAAATTTATCTTTCATCTTATGATATAAAAAATCTCGACACATTTCCGCATTTTACCCACTAATCATAAATATAGAAGTTGTAGCCTACTAAATTTCCCCACTTTTCTATTTAACATATCCAATACATGGATTACAAAGTGCCCTACGTGCATGTCCAGATGCATGCCTCATCATGATGTGTATATAAAACATCTCATGACCTATTCCTTTTTTCTTTGTTATGATGAAGTAGATGCCTTTCGTTAGAAAAAAAGGTTGTGTATATATCTATATTCAAGTTTTATACACGGTTTTTAAGGATAGAGACGAGAGAGAGAGAGAGAGAGAGAGAGAGAGGTCTGTCAGTCAAGCCAGGAGCAAGCAGCTACCACAGCAAAATGGGCGATCTACAACCAATGAAGAGTTGAAAGTTATTGTGATGGCAATGGCGATGCTCTTTCTTAAGCAAAGCAATGAAGAGAATTTTTTCTCTTTTAGAGAAAATCAAATTATTTACTTAAATGCATTTTTCAACTATTATTTAGACTAATTTTTACTATTTTTTTAAAATATTCACTTTCAGAATTACAATTTTATTTTTGTTTCTCATTTTTATCTCTTAATTTTAAAAAAATATTTTACTTTTCATTTAATTTAAACTTGTATATATTTTCTTTCTTTTAATTATTTTCTCAATGTTAAGATTTAATTTTCATTTTTCTAAGCTCTAGTTCTTTTTTTAACTGATTTTATTTTCGTTTCCATTTTTCATCTTTTTACTGATTTTTCTTTTAACTAATTTTAGGGTTTAGATTTTATTTTAATTTTTTTTATATTGTTTTTTAGTTTACTATAATGATAAAGGACAATAGAAAAAATAGATCCAAGTTGAAATATGACGCCTAAAGCAAAATACGAAAAGTTGCAACAAAGGCTATGTTTACTTGACATGAAAATTTAGTGGCAATAAAATTACAAGCGGTACTAAAAGATTAAGAGATCACCTAGCATGCGCATATCTTAACAATAGGGAATAGAAAAAAGTGTAAAATGATGTTAAGAAAGAATGTGCACTTTTTTCAAACAAATTTATGCCACTTCAAAAAAGCAGAAGGAATAATCTAGGAAAATATTAGAAATAGCTCCTTTGGTTCTCAACATAATAATTATAGCAATTGAAATTTATTTCCTCCTAATAGAAGAACTCAGAAATCAATGAATAAATTTGTAGTGAACTTAGAAGAATATGAATATCAAAAATCTCTCCTTGAACTTCGATAAAAGAACATTAGACTGCAGTATGCTTAGATGTTAAAAGATATATTCATGAAATTGGAATTCCACGCAGTGTGGAAGGCACAATAAAGTTGATTGATAGGTGCAGAAGATAAGAAATGGGTAAATTTTATGAAATTATCATATGATTAATTGGACATCAGAGAAAAAAAAAACATTATCAACTTTCTTGTTATCAATCCATAGGCGACTTGGTTAAAAATTCTATTGATACATCAACATTTGTTAAAGATGCATCTCTGATACTTAAAATGCTTGAAGAAATTATTGAAGAGGTAAATGAGAGCATAGTTGCTCAAGAGATCATGAATAATGCAAGCATATATATGGCCATAGACAGGATGTTAATGTAGGAAAAGAGGGACATCTTTAATGGACTTCTAGCGTTGGCCAAATCATCATCCGATGCTTGGAAGTTGGAACACCACAACATAAATATGTTGTGCTAAAAAAACAAAAAAAATTAACATATTTATTTACAATCAATCTAGAGAATTAAGCTTGATGAGAAAGTATACAAGTAAGAAATTAAGCAAACAATCATAATAAAAGTTAAATTTGAAGAATAAAAATATGCCTTGAAAGCTAATGTAAGAAAAAATAACATTGCTAACATTGGAAGGGTTACTAAATTGAGACCAAATTCTACTTTATAATCATTCAAAAGAAAAAAGAAAAGTGAAATTAACCATGAAAAAGTCAAAAAGATTATTTAACTATAATAGATAATTTATTTTTGTTTTTAATTTAACACTATTTTAAATCATATTGAATTCTAAGTTGATTGATATATAGAATAAGAAAAAATACAATGATTATACAGATGTAGAATATAATAATGAAATTTTAACATAAAATGATTGAATTCTTACATATGATAAGTCTTTGAAAACGTTACAATGAAGAAGAGGTTGTTATGGATCATAATCTTTATGACAAATTTTAAGCGCTTATCATAAATCTTTATTTCAAACACTTCAGGTTAGCATGAAAATTAAATTTTACATTTTTTCTTGCTATATGATCGTCAGATCTATGATGTTGAACTAAATTTATTTGATGTCATTTTAGGGCACATTTGAAATTTATTTTCTAAGCACTTTTCTTTAACTCGAGGCTTTCACCTCGAGGTTAATCCTGACCACCCTTAAGCAAAATGCTTCAATTCTCAACTTCAACCTTGAACCAAGGTACTTAAATATGATTCAATTAAGTATTAATTTGTTTTCTAAAAATATTAATTGATAATAGTTAACATTACACCCACTAAAATTTCATCACACTATCATTGTTTAACTAATTATAAGCCATCTATATTCTAAATATTTAGTTGTTTATTTTTTACTTATTTTAGTAAATATCTCACTAATTAAATATATATTGTTTATACAAAGTATGCACCAAAACATCTCATTTTGAAGATATTTTATAAGCATCTCTAAAACTAATACAAAAAAGATGTGGCTGCAATGCTAATCATTAATGGAATCCTACTATAATTCAAAATTTTAGTCAATTACAATTTTTTGAACTTCTACCTAGTTCTCCATTGCACATTATCCTTAATAACTTCAGCATGTTGTTGGCGCAACTTTCTATTTTATGCAAGCCAAATAAATTG